GTATTTTGGACACAAATAGGAGGTCATTGTGCCAGGCGTTCCTAGCGGAGACCGTGGAAACTGGGACTAAGAATCGTTGCGTGGTTGACGCAACGCATGTTTAGGAAAGTTTAAATTTAGAGCTTTCCCGAGACATGTCGATCCACGAATTCTATTGCTTGAACGGGTTGATTTCTTTGGAACATGTGAGCACTAGTTAGGAGTCGAAAAAAAAAGAGAATCTTAATTAGCAAAACTAAGATGGTCAGGTGTTGTAAACTTTCATTGTATGCAAACAGTCTCGCGATGAGCATGCAGTTTACTTTCGGCGATGATTGAAATGACGTGCCAGTAAATCACTTTTTTGATCTCTGACAATGATGCAATTTCTCTAGAATCGAGGCCCTTGAATTTTCTTGCATTTATACACGCGTATGGCCTGCGACCTCAGACGTATTTCCGGTCGTCGGTAACGCGGGAACTAAATCAATTCAGAAACTATCGACGTCGATAAACCGTTAGCGAGTAAATCCTGTCTCGTATAGAATTAGTCGCCTCTTCATTTCTAGATCTAATCTCCAAGCAAGCGAGTCTGGATGTAATTAAGCTTCATTTTTGTTTTTGGTGCAGCGAATAAGAGGATTTTTTGCCAATAAATTTCGATTTTTATTTTTAACCTTCTTTCTTCGCTTTGCATATATATAGTGAGGGTTTTAATGAGATGGTAGTTTTGACGGTTAACGGTTCTAAATTTTAAAGATTTTGATGGTTGACGTTATTTAGTGGAAATTTAGTCAAAGAGTTTATGTAAATAGTACATAAATATCACTGAACTTCAGCATAAATTAATTTAAACTGTTGTGTTTTGGAGGTTGTCTTGGCCTTTCGCTCAGAATTTCGAAATATGTTTAGATATAAGCAAGTTGAATGGTCATGTAATGTCCAGAATGTGTTTCTGAGATTATGGGGGCTGGTTTTCCCAGCCAGTTCACAGATTCTTCAGGAGCTAGAAGTCCATGAAGATCAGCTGAAATACAACTTTTTGTTGGTTAATATTATTTTTTTTCGACGGCAGACGGTTAAATTTTAGAGCTATTGACGGCTGACGGGTTAAACCCATTGAGACCTTCTTTAGTAATTATATCTAGTTTTGTGGCCCACTTTATCCTCTTTCTTTCCTGTGGAATTGTGGCTGGCTAACTTTCCAAGAAAGGGGGGACTACAGTAAGTGAATAGAGAAATCACCAGTGTTTCACCCCTTCCCCACCCCGAAAGGCTAGTAATCAAGAGTAGGGTTTTGTGTGTAACTCTAGCAGGATTGGTCAGAATTCTTTTGTGTTCGCTTTGCAAAGATTTATCCTTCCCGAATTCCCCACTTGACAACTTCATCGCATAAACTTGAAGCTAAATGGGTTCAGCAATAAATAATCTGCATCGTTCCATAGATGGCAAAAAAGTAGGCCCCACCCGTCCTAAAAGGGATAGAACACGGAAACTGTTTAGTTTCCTAAATCATTTGGCCCATAAAACAAAATAAAAAAGCCGAGAAAAAACGTTTCAGTAAAAATGATCCAGAAGACTCAATTGATAAAGTTCATGTGACATAATAAATAGCGGTTAAAAATCCAGTGAGCTGCGTGGCAGTTTGAAAAGTCAAGGTAACATTCGTTAAAAAGGAAAGTACTGTATGAAAAAAGTGCCGTGTTTTATATGGCGTTATTTTCCAAACGCAACATAGCTGTTTTTTTAGATGAGCTGATCCTGTCCGGCGATGGGCATAGTCGGCGTGGGTCAAAAACGAGTCACATTCGTTAATGATTTTATAAATGTTTTCATTTGAGGCAAAAGACAAAACGGATGAAAATATTAAGCGATTCTAATTTTGAGTTTAACAAGTTCAATGTCTTAATCTTGCGTTCTGTCCCTAAAGCATATGAATCGATCAAATTGTATGCACATGACGTTGACTTTGATTATGAAACTGATTATGAACTGTGCGTTATAAACTCAAGATCAGTCAGACGAATCATTTCTAGATTACCAAACTTTGATTGCCCACACTTTTGTAAAAAGCTTTCAACATAACGTCATGACTTTTCATAGTCTATACATGGAGTGGTTTGAATTGCTTCCTTAGCCAACGCAAGATGTCAAAACCAAAAGGATCTCAAATACGGTCCAATTCGTTAAAAACATCATGAGCCAGTTTAAATTTATACCATATACATATTTAAAACGCAAAACTAAACTTTCATGTGAGAAAAGACAACTCTTTGTTAGGGAATCAAAAAGGATTTCTTCGAAAACAAGCGCAGGCTCTATATTCCCTCATAAAGATGATAAAAAGCGTAGTGGATAATTTAGCGGAAAGCAGCGTGTTGTTCATTATAGGAGCTTTATAACGAACAATGCTGCTGCGTTCGGAAAATACCAAAATCTAAGCAAATTTATCTGAAATTCACAGACCCCGGTTTTGATGTCGTACCGCTAAATAAACGACTACGTGCTTGCTTTACAGCGTCAATGCTATATCGAACTCTTTGATTACTGAACGTGACTACGTTTTTATGCAATAGCAGAGTTTTCAAAGCACGGCACGTTTCTATTGAAGGAACTTTGATTAAATTTTCAATCGCAGTTTTGTTTTACGTATTAATTGAACCATCTTTTATTCCCGTACGTCAAACATTAAACCCTTAAATCAGTGGTGAGAAAAACCCTTTTTCCGGTATTTCATTTCAATAGAAAATTACCATACATCCGATTCTTGGAAATGAAAAGTGCTCTTTCTTCAAGAGTTCTCATTAATCGCATTGACAACCCAATAAATTGTAAATCAGTAATGTGTTTTTCTCTGTATTCATCGCAAGGGTAGCCAATGTGAAGGAAGTTATATTGTTCATGATAATTTCGCACAATAAACCTACATCCGAAATCACACAAAATGGTAGGACTGAGCGTTGTTTGATGTTATCGATATCTGAAGTGATGCGGAAACCACTTACTTTCAATTTTTATTTCGCGGCTTTCTGCGTAAGGTTTTTTCAAAGTTTTTGTTATTTGTTTAAAGGGAGAAGTGGGTTAATTATTGTCCAAATGCAAAACAAAATAGAAACACCAAAGTAAAAGACCATTTTAGATTTATTGTGCTCGGTTAAACCGGAGGAAAACCGGCGAGTTTCTTCCAGTCACACTTTTTGTCTTTTCAGTATGAAATCATGCGTCCGGAGTTAATTGTACAAAGACATTAGCGCTTTTTATGTTTCGGACGTATATTTTCCAACAAAAACGCCTGGCAAAAAGTACTTACTTGGTTATCGATTGTAAGTGAAACCGACTAAAGGGCAGTGTATATGTTCCGGAACCAGTATCAGTGACTGAATTCGCCTAATAACGGTTCACAACGAAAACGAGAAAACACAAGGACAAAATGAATTTTAATATATAGTTTTGCAATATTCATCCATCAAGTGTTGGCCGAATTTTCCTTTCAGAGAATCGAGTTGTGTATATATACGCAATATGTGCAACATTCAAATACTTGCCTATGATATATATTTGAACGATTTTCCAGCACCAAGCGAATTAGTATTTACAACGGATTTCTCTCGCTAAATGTACATTAAAAGTATTTGTGGATTCTGGTCAGTTTTGTATGAAGTTTCATCTAATCTACTGCACTTAAAGTAAATAACCAAAATTAAATACTAGTAACAAAGCGGACCGGCCGCATGAAAAAATAGGAAGATGAAAATCATTTTTCAAATGAAATCGTCACTCCCAGGCCAAGGTTATTTTTAAAGTGATCCAGCTTTCCTGAACACTCCCTGAGTTTAATGTCACTCAAGGAAAAATAAAAAGCGGTACTAATTCTCTCCTCGATTAACTGTCTCACTTCTTAAGGTAAGTCTTTTTGTTGCGTCAACAAAATCAGTTTTTCTGGCTTGTTGATAATAAACATATCACTTTCTAGCTACTTTTCGTCGCCTTCTGAGGAATTCATGGAGGACACCTTTCAAGAACGTTGTTTTAAGCTTGAAGAATTTTTTTAGTCCATAAGAATAAACAGCTTGGCTCTTAGAGAGTGAATGTGAGCTGAAGAGGACTTTGCTAAGAGGACGACTTTTTTTCAGACGGTAATCTCTTCATTCCCCAAGGACAAAACTACAAGTAATTCTTAATGGCGCTTATAATGGAAATTTCTCCTGATCATTTACTGCTGAGGAAAAGGAGGAAATGTAGAAGTACCTTTCAATTCTCGATAGCCACGGTTAAAAAGAGGCCTGATTCGTGTTCTCTATTAATTACAAGAAAACGTTTTACCTAACGTTCGCGAATAAAAGTATTAAAATTTTCTGTTCTTATTTCAAAGCAGGGAAAATTATCACATTCATCATCATTCGAGTTTTCTAAAAATTTTGTTATAAATGATTATAAATTTCAATTATGAGTTCACTTGGTCACAGCCGACCGAAAGGCAATTCGACATCAGCACGCCAAAGATGGGCGAAAGAACTGCAAGTTGTCTAAATTATCATTGAATTGCCTCCATATTTAATATTTTTTAAATTTTGTTTGGGAGATATTAAACGATCACTGGAACGTTCGCACTTACAGACAATACAGTAAATTTGGTTGTGGCTTCAAAGGGTGATTTCATTGCTAAATCCAACCGACATCCATCCCAGTTTGTTTATAAAGCACCAAACCTCTGAAAGAAAATAGTGCGAACTACTATGATATAACCTGTGGCCAGTCTGCCTGCCCTGCATTTCATTCCAGTGCCAGTTTACGACATGATAATTTCCCTACGAAAACTTAAGAATACAAAATTCTTTATTCCAGTTGTCAAACAAACGATACAAGGAAGTGTTCTGAAAAGTTATGGCTTCTGTGCACAACAGTTTGTTTTTTTGCATTCAATTGAAAACGATTTTCATGTATTTACAATGATGGTGGAAAAAATGCTATGAGCTGTTTCTCGTCTTTGGCAAAAAGTCTTTACATATTACATTTAAAATTTATTTATACTTGAATGAGATATTTTAATTCCGGATATACGAAATTTACAAGCATAAAAATTCACAGTTGCTAAAAACTCGTAAAAAAAGTGTTTAGTTTGTTTTATTTTCTAAGCATCCTTAATCGACAACTGTTCCATTTCATGCGTGTACGCGTGCCGTCGAAGATCAACTTTTCGATAGAATGCACGATCGCACACTTGACAAGAAAACGGTTTGAAACCGGAGTGTTTCCGGCTGTGTGTGATGAGGTTTGACGATTGGCTAAAAGCCTTGCCACATTGCAGACACTTGTGAGGTTTTTCTCCTGTGTGAATATACGTGTGCTTTTTCATGTCCGATTTTTGATGAAATCTCTTTCCACAGTAGTCACATGGGAAGGGCCTTGTATCCGAATGAATAAGCATGTGTGTTGAAAGCGTGGACGAGCGTTTGAACGTTTTGTTGCACTCTTTGCACTCAAACGTTCTCTCGTTGGTGTGAATGTTCTTATGTTGTTCCAGGCTCACTATGTGGCCGAATGTTTTACCACAGATGTCGCAAGCAAACGGGCGCCTTCCAGAGTGCGAGCGTCGTACGTGCACTTCCAAACCGTGTGGTGTACTAAACACCTTTTTACAGTTCAGACAATCAAACGTTTGACCATTGTATGCTTGTTCCGATTTCTTCTTTTCGTGCGTATCCGGTTGAGGTGCTGGGCGCGTGGTGGTTTTTAACGCCTTCTCCCCATCCGTCATGCGCACAAGTGGGTTTCCAAAGAATGGAGACTGCTGCCAGAAAGGAAAAGATAGACTTCGCTCCGTAAGGAATGGTTGGGGTGGGAAGCGTAGATAAGGGTGTATAAGAAACTGGTTGAACCCATCGGGCATGAACTGGGCAGCAAAGGGTGGAATATAAGGTCTGCCATCTGAGAGATAAGAAAAAATATAATCTGTTAGCCTTATGGCGTTCAAACGTGATGGATAGCCCTTAAGATAAGTGTTCTGTATGGAGACGGAAAAACATTTTCTAAGAGCGCGAGTGATTTGCAACCAGGTTAGAGCAAATAAAAGTTCGAAAAGATGCTTTCATAAGAGCTACTCAAGTATTGGAAGATTAATTTTCATAAATGTTTAAAATCTTAAAAGAACCGGAAAGTTGCGCCGTTAATGAGTTTTCACTCCTTTGCATTTATAAACTGTTTGCGTTATAAATCCGAATGCTAAATTCGTTTAGAAAACGTCTTTGTTTTTTCCTTTCTACGTGAATCTTGCCCAATTCAGGAGAGACGAGTGATGATTCCCTTAAATTAAATCCCTTTGTAGTTACCGCTTCATTTTGTGATCAAAGATGGTGTTTTCAGCTCTGATTGAAGAAGAAAAAAACCATCAAATTGTAACAATACCCGAAAAGTAGTGTAAAAGAAATGGCTTTGTACCACATTTCCTCGAAATAAGAGGCATAATTAAGCTCATGTGTCGATTAATCTGAACGGAAAAATAAAGCAACTACTCAAACCAATCTGTTTCCTCTTCCATTGGTAATTTCACAGGTTTCTTTCCGTTGATAGAAAGCAGAAACTCTCTTCTTCAATTTAATTTAAAAAGACAATTCAGGAGGTGGTGCTCGGCTTGGTTTGTCATTTTTAATAAACCCAACAGAGGTTCAAATATACACAATATTTGAACAATTAAACTCCAGCGAGTTAAACATACAGGCTTTGAGGTATTGTTAGGGATTTCTTCAGGTAATTACTCTTTATTTGCTTGTCACTGTCATATCTAGACTGAGGACCAACCTAAATAAAGTTCATCTTACACGCGATTGGTAATCTCATAAAATGCTCGGCTCACAAGTTTGCGCCGTTTACAGTTGTTTGTTTGCAGATTTTAAATCTTTTCTTCCACCAAGCCGTGAAAATACGCGCTATTTACACGCGCACTCTATAGGCTCCCCAAATCATTTCCTGTCAGCCTTAATACTAAGATTCGCAGGTTCTGATTTCCAAACTGAAAATTAAGACCATACCCGCAATAAGAAGAGACTCGCATTTATAAATTTCTTCGCCGAAGAAACTTTTCTAAGCCCCATCTCCCTGCGCGCTCAAATCGTCTTTTTCACGGAAATTTCTTCTTTCGCAAACCACAAAGTATTCCGAATTTTCAACAAAAACTACTAATGTGACACAAACATTTTTAGTCTGATTAAAGCGCGCATATCAGTAATCACAACGTGCGAAAAATAAAATCGTTTTCTTTTAACATTGCGTTTGTTCAATATCATAAAAGTACAACGAGACTAACAGTAAAATTACCATGTAAAGGAAGCGTAGCCGATTCCACAAAAGTGAAAGGGGGCCTCGAGTGATCCATTGGTCTCCAATGTAAGACAGGTTTTTGCTTTTTGGGAACTCTGTCGGGTGCACATAGGTTTTCGATGTCAAACGGACGGTTTGATGTAGCTTTAGATCCCTTTGCCTCTTGGTCTTTTCCGCGGGCCATTTGGTTTTCGTCACTTTCCTCTAGAAAACCGAATCAAAATGACAACATTTTAACTTGTGCGTATTTAAACTATCTTAACTCCAGATTAATTCAAATCGGTCTTTTTGAAACGGAAAAATCTGGCTGAGTTCAGAGTTTATTCAGTTAGCGCTGTGCTTTTGCATAGAATCTTCAATCTTCTGGAAAACCGCACGCCATTTGATCAATCTGATTTCAGAATCGATTTATTAGAATCTCACGTTTCTGTTAATCCAGCTTTTTGAAAAGTGAACTTAAAGCAAAACTCCCACCATTAGGACTTAAACGAAATAAATCTTAATCCTGATTCCTCGGCCGAGACTAATTCAAAATCAGAAAATAATATCATTGAAATAAAGAATAGAAATCTGTCTTTAAAAGAGCAGCGATATCGGGTCCTTACCGTGCTCCCGTATTAATTCAGCATCTGGGAGATTCTCTGATTCCTGAGTAGCAGGCACCTCCACCCGCTTCTTAACCAAAAAAGATTTAGGCATCTTAGATGAATCAAAATGGGTCTGAATGAAATCTGAGTGATGTCTCGAATGAACTAACGCTTTAAGCTGGCCGTTTTACAATAAAGGCATTTTTTGGATGTCACGACTTTTTACAACTGTCATGAATAAAACCCTGCCCAGTAAATCTCCGACAGGTGAACTCCACAGTAACAAGCGCCCTGTACGCATGCGCAAAATGCAGGTGGAGGTAAAATACACTGCCATCTTAAATGAGGAGATCATTTGATTGGCTATAACCATCACTTGTCATTTCAGATTTTTCTAGCCTTATCCGGCGCTAAAAAACATGAAAATTCGTCATTAGCGATTTAATCAAACAGTTTTAATTGTTCCGTGTTTGCTCTTAGCGGGTTATCCGGCGAACTGTCTTAACCGGAGTCTGTCCGTGTTAGCCGGGTTGGGCAGGGATTGACGGTCCCATACGGCTATTTTTAACTTTGTTAACAAGCAAGCATGTTTTAGTTGGCATAGTATTGTGTCATGTAAAACTGATTTCCCAACAACTTTTTGATCGTGTTTCGTTGCCAAGGGGGAACACTTCAACAAATCCGTTGAACTTAACATGCTAGCTTTCTGCTACTGTCACATGAATTATTTATAGAACCAATTAAGCTTTTAAATGTTTTCTGCTGTGAATGACGCACGAGCAGGCCTCTTGGGTTGCAAAATCAACGGAAAATGTTTGTTGGCTATTTTAACGGAGCTTGTTATGTCTGCATGAGACGGGATGAAACTCTAATTACAGCAAACATGGAAGTAGGCTTATTACACCGATACGATCAGGGGCTATTAACAGGTGCATACCGGCCTGCCTAGAAGAAATTTAATCAAATTAGCTACCACTATTAATGGCTTGTGCCGCAATCAAACTTATCCTTTTAAAGGTCTTGTTTCTATTCGTTGCTAGGGTGTAAGAAGTGACGATCAAATTTAGCAGTATTCAGTTACTTGGTCTAAAAATGCCGACAGGATACGTTTAGTTTACAATCATTTGTCGAGGGCCTAATTTCTTTCCAGTGCTAATAAAGCTGATAGTATCGAGCAGCAAGCCAAAATGCGGACGTTTTTGGAGTCGACTACATTTGGTTAAACTCAAGTATCACTAACAAAACGCTATTTTAAGTTTCATTGCTATCGAGAAACCGCTCCACCTCGGTCGCAATAATTCCTTGCAAAGAGCAAAAGAATAAACCCTTAGCTATCACAAACAAATGCAAATTAAAGAAAGCCTTCTTAAGAGCTTGTGAATTCCAAGTGTTCTATATGACACGAAGTAGCTTCGTAATTGATTTCAGATTCAGAATAGAAGAGCGTAATTCAAGACCGTCCATTAGCAAGAAATGTAAATCTCCGTCGTATTGTCTCCTCGTTCTGATTTGCTTCCTGCAAAAATGAACCGAAAAGCACTTCCTAATGAACAAAAGAATGTTTTGGGCAAACTTTCATCGACGCACTTACGAAATTTTTTCAAAATACTTTTTGCCTGAGAAAACCGCATCAGTTGTTTCTATATTTTCCTCCCCTCTGAGTAATTCACTCCGAGGAGTCTAAATTATCATCGGAAATGAACGTTTTCTAGATTTTTAATCAGTTCATCGCAACTAAACTGTACAGCCTTTTAATTTTAGTCTGTTGCGATTAAAGGAAGGCGCCGCCATAAATAGGACGATAATTTCTTCAGTTTCTTAATTTCGACCAAACTGGCTGACGGGTCTCTTTTAATATTTTCTTTAAACATTTGATAGCGTGGCTGTTAAACAACTGTTTCTTTCTTCCCCACTGATAATTGCAGGCTTCTTTCGAATTATTGACGAAAGACCCCCGGGGAAAATTACCTCAAAATGAAAAAAGGGGTTATTGTTCAAAATGGATCGGCGGGGTGAGCGATTCTTTGACGCAACGAATGATGAATTAATATTTGGCTAATAAGCAAAATTGTGATGGCCCAAACAATTTCTTTGCTAAAAGCACTTAAGCTACTTAACACGACTAAAAACCAAACAAGATGCAATCTAGAGTGAATAAAAAATATTCGTGTTTCATTTCTCACGTTTGTCTCGTTGCAGTAATTATAGGACTGATTTCACTACGGAACAAACATTGCAAACGGAAAAGGTGTCTTTATAGCGCACAGATAACGACCCTCATTTCACGGTTATTAATGCAAATGTGAGGAATTTAAACAATGAATAAAATATGATAAGACTAGAGTAAAATGATAACATTTCTATTTACTGTCGCGCTTCGTAATCCAGTGTTTAACCAAAACTCCCCAGAAGGCGACAAATAATCGTTAAATAATAGTCCAAACTTCTGCGTGTTTAACCTCTGAAACATAACTTTTCGCGGGCATAATCAAAATATTTTATCAGGTGAATTAGAAGCTGAATTTTTTCGCTTCGAATAAAATGTGGCACTTTTAAGGTTTCTTTTTACAATGTTATCGAGACATATTCCTAAAATATGTTGTGAAAACTTTCTCTTAATAAAGAGTTTTTATAAAAAATTTAGATAAACACAAACTCTAATTTGAATGCTAGTCACACCGGCCTATAATTTCGCATGTACAGAGAATTTTTTTTATTAAAATTATAAGTTAAAGCTTTGTTTCTGATAAATAAAACCTTCGTACATTAAAATCACCTTTGCTTCAGGAATATTGGTGTACAATGTAAGTTCTTTTTATTTCGGTGACCGTAGGACCTTTTTTCACACCCGGAATATCACTGATGCGAACCAATTTTTCCTCCAATATCTAACATTTCCTAGTGCGGGCCACTTTTAATTGCTGGAACAAGTTTATTTCTTTGCTTTGGCTAAATGGTCTTATCTTATATTTTTTATCTAAATAACCGTTCGCGTTGCTCTAAACAGAGGGATGATTAACGCAGCCTTTGTAAAATCCTAATTTAACAATCTGGATACCAGCTGCCTGTACATCAGAAAATCACCTGATCTTGAAACCGCAATAAGACATTCTTGTCCTTTAGTTTCTTTTTTTTTTTTAATAAACCACGAATGAAGTTCATAATCAGTTCTATTTTTGAAAAGGTGAGTTTAATCAGAGTGTAACTTGAATAAGGACAGTATACACAAACGACTCCATTGCATTTATAGTTTTCCGGCAACTCTTTCGCTTGTTACGCCCCTCGAAAAACACACCAATAAATAAATAACAAAACACTTTAATAATACGGTTGCAGATCGCCTATGTTTATACATATACGTAATAAATATCCCAGTTTTTCACGTTATTTTCACCTTCAAAGATGAGGATCGCACTTTTAATACTTTCGAATCGAAAGGACTGGCATCTATGCTCTGTTTTATGAGGTTTTTGATGTAACATAGGTCGAATTTTGCGAGCCCTAGTCGAAGCTCAGCGACTCTTGTCCTTGCAAGTATTGTACGAGTGGCTTCGACAGCATAAGTTTACCTCACGTCAAAATTCACTGCCCTTTCTAACGGTTTAAGTCAAATCGCTGTTCGTTTGAACTGAAACTTATTGACAGCTATTCGGCGTTAATGGCTTCTTTCTCTCTGAAAAAGAAAATTTAAATAGCAGTCTCACTAAAAGATGATAAGCAAACACGCTTTCCATAATGAACTATGGATAAAAAGAAAAAAACTCAGACGAGAACAGCGACAACGCATTTATTAAAATAACCCCCAACCGAAACGTATTTGAGTTCATTCACAATGAGTATTGAATATGCCACAGCAAGTACATTAACAAAACCATATTTTTTTCTGTACAATCAGATATTTCAGTCGCCAGAAAATGGAAATAAAACAGTCAATAAAGACAGAATTTTTATTCAGGAAAACTACGTACGGATCAAACTAGTTGAAAAAAGAAAACGTTATCATCTTTGTTTTGGAGGACTATAAATCTCCTTGTAGATGGAAACAAAAGACTAGTTGTAAAATTCGAAAATAAGAATAAATATCAACAGTATTGGCTTTCAAAGCGTGTCTTTTTCAGCTACTTTAATAAATGATATGGAAAACAGCTAAACGCTGTACCAATAACAATTCCTGTTGTTGCCTGTGGTCGGGTCGCAGGTACATTTTATTGTATTATTTCACCTCTATTAGCGATGAAAAGTTTAAAGGAACCCAACAGAGTTACTTTGTAATGCATCCTTTTTAGACTTAAAGTTAACTGTTGGAAAACCACTTACATTGCATTGGACTCACATTTTGTCACGCAAAGTATACAGTACAGTTAACGCGAACAAAGACCGATTTTGTTTGAGAGATGGATAATATGTCTGGGACGAACGTGCCTTGCAAACGTCGCTTCTTTGTCTGGTTACTGAAGCTTATAGTTCGTTTTGTAAAACTGGTTGAAAAGAACAAGGATAAAGATTACTTAAACTATAGATAGCTTGTCTCGGCACAAGCAATCCCTCCATATCACGCCCTACAAGACGCTCAACCCGACGGCATATTCCCGTATACCTGAATAGCAGAGTTCGATAGTAGATAATGGCTGCCACAACTTACATAACCGGCCGAAGTGCCTTATGAACCAGCGAAGCCACTGGTAATTCCACCTATGTAGTGGTTAGAGAATTACGACATTAAAACATAGCAGTTTGTTATACAAAGAAAGATAGCCAAAAAAACTAACTTAAAATAGAATAAATATACAAAAATTAAAATAAAAAAGCGATTCATTCTGCGTGAGTTGTGTAACAGCTGGGAAAAAGTTTGAAAAATAAAACTGTCCGATTCGCCGAGATTAAATGCGATGAATAGCGAGCAAAACACAATATTTTATAAACTGGCCGTAGATCAGTAGCATGATTTATAATTTATTCTCGTTTTCCCTTCGATAGTGCTCTTCTTCCTTTCCCACTTTAAAAGCAAACTTCCTGTAAAACTCATTCATTTGTTGAAGGCAGCAGCTACAGGAGGCATACGAGGCATTGGCCACAAGGAGTAGCTTTCGGTTTCTGATCGCAGATATAGGTGCCCAAAATTAGCAACTTTGACATCCCGTTCAAAGCCTTTATAATTTCTTGAGAAAGGTTTAGTCAAGTCAGCTGCA